AATCGTGCACACGGACGGCCCAGATTAAATCAAAATGGACGGCTGAGATCAAAAGGCAAAAGGGTATAAATAGAACCCCCACACCTGACCATAAAAACCCTAGCCGCCTGCCCTCGCCGGAGACGACGAACCAGACGCCGGAGAAGCCGGCCGCCGCCACTCGCCGTCGCACCGGGGAGATTTCCGACCGCCGATCGAGGTAAATTTCATACGCCCGACTCGTTTTTTCACGCCGATTTCCCCTGTAGCCAAATCGGAGCCAAAATTCCGGCCAAACGGCCGGAAAACACTGCCGAAACCCAGCGGCGCCGCCGCGTCCCTCCTCGGTTTTTGCCTCTGATGAGGCCCTTCCCGGTCTCCGTTTGATGCAATTTTTATATCACCGTGATCACCATTCTTTTTTCTACAGGTTGATCGGAGCCGAATCACCAAAACACGAACCTAACCGGAGAGCCGCCGCACCCGAGAGCACCGCCGCCGGTAAGCTTCGGTTTTTCGTAATTTTTTGGCCCCCCGAGGGCCCTAGGGTTGTTTTATCGCAATGACCGATGCAAGTGTGGCCGAATTCGGCCGAAAACGGCCAAACCGAGGCGAATCGCCGCCGCTTGCGGCGGCACCGTCGCCGGAGCAAGGCGGAGCCGCCGTGCCGGAATTGCGATATTGGCCAAAAAGGGGTCCTGGGCCTAATTTTGGATTTTTTGGAACACGTGCAGGTACCAATAGTGCATTTCAGTTCCCCAGAAAAAATTTAAGAAAAATTAGGGACAGCCTGTAGGCGCACTGTGAAGCCGTGTTCGGACCCCGAAACGAGTAAGGACCCCTCACCCTATTTCCTATTACGGTATTAAAGTTCAGAAATGATAAAACGGTATTTCTTGAATCAACGAATGTGTGAAATTGTTTAAGGTCGCTAACGGAGCCCGAGTCTAGTGTGTTTGTCGGTTAACTGTTATTTGGCATATTTTACAGTTTTAAATGCAGTATGAGGTCTGATGTTTTCATTTCATTATTTCGCGTGCATATTTTACTGTTTTATTAATTATGGGTTGAATGACTGAGAAACCGATGCTGTATGTTGTCTTATTTGACATAAATTATTGTTTGCTTGTTTGTATGTAAATTGATGATGCTGACTGAGGAAAAGGAGAATGAAAGATTATGTAAATTGATAGTTGTATAATGTGGTCAGCCTGACTAGATATCCTGGGAGATGGTGGACGGACTGGGTCCGTAGGGAACCCTACCGGGATTGTGGTCTCTCATACCGGACGGGGTAATGAGGTCTATAGTTTTGGCGCCCATACCGGACGGGGTATGGGGACGGCCCTGGAATCTGATTTCAAGTTTTAAGGGTTAACGGGTAGCGGGACCCCTATGGATCCTCATGGATACTAGTAGGCTGGTAAATGAGGAAAATATGTTGTGTAATGATTGAATTACAAAAGGCGTGATAAGTACTATGTTATACAGGTTATATGATTTCATGATGATGATAATGTTATTTGCTTTCGTATATTGTTTTATGAATTTCACCGAGGTAAGTGGATGGTAAATGATTTATTATGGATAAAAGGATTTGTTGTAAATTATGCTCCATTGCTCTTTTTGTGTTTTCTACCCACCTTTACCTCCGTGACGGTGAGATATCGTGATGTCTTTACTGGGTTAGTGTAGCTCATTCCTTATTTAATCATTTCAGATCATGAAGACATTGTTCCCGAGCCCGTTCCGCAGGAGGACGACGAAGGGGACGCCTAAAGACTCCATAGTCATATTCATAGCTTTTACTTTCGAGTTTCTTCTTTAGTTTGTTTGATTCTTTATATTTTGTGAGCACATTTTTGGTTTTAGTGTAAGGGATGTTAATCGAATTTTTGACTTCGCTTCCGCATTTGATATTTTTAATACACATTTCATTTTAAATTTCCGGGGCCGTTACAAAGTTGGTTAGCATTGATCTAATATGATGTCTCTCTTGTTACTTATGTTATAAAGATTATATCTTAATATTTTGATATTCGATCTGTGTATTTATTGATATTAATTTTTTTGAGCTTTTGTTTTATTTTGTAATTTAAGTTTAAATTATTTATAAGCAATCAAAAATATTATTAAAATAGTTATATTTAGAATATATATTCATTTTTTTATAAATAAACTAATATATATTTTTTTATGTTAGAACAGGATGATGAGTACGTATTATATAAAATAAGAAATAAAGATATGGAGAAAATAAAAGTTCAATAAAAAATCAAGATTATCAACTTTCGACAAAATCGAAATCAAGATAACGACAAAAATGCTCTTGAAAAAAAAATTGAGCTCATAGAAGATTATCAACACAATAACCATTGATGATTTTTCAAATGAGAATATTATGAGTGAATATATTTTACGCAAGATTTTAAGAAATGTATAAATCAATCATGAAATATATTGAAAAAATCAGTTAGAATTTTATTTGAAAATGAACAATAGTCTTGTTGTTCATTCACACTTAGATTTTGTTTGAATAAATTTAAGTGATGATTAATTGATGTATAGTAATGACAGTAGTTGAATGACAATAACATAGAATTGTAATGACAAAATTATTTTACGTTTGGATGATGGTATATTAATGTATGTTAATGATATATTTTTGTTTAATTGATAGAATGGTATGGTTGTATTTTTAACTAAATTATTAATTACCCTATATATTATATATAATAGTAAATAGTATAAAAGAAGTATAAAAGAAAAAAAAATTATTTATCAATATAATTATATTTATATTTAAATAAATAATTAATATACATAATTAAATTAAAATTTTATATTTAATAAAATAAATAATATTTATTTATATTATCACATTAACTTAATAAATTTTTAATTGTCAGAACATATATATAATTAATTAAATTAGATAGGGGTATAATATAAAATAAATATAATGCACACTAAATACTATTAATTTGATGATTTAAAAATTTAATCCAAAATTTGACAGTAAAATACTATTTATTACAATTGAAAGTTGAAACAAAGACAATTTTTTCACGCCTGTAAAATACAATACATTAAAATTTTACTATTTACTATAATCCAAAAACAGGGTTAAGAATTTTTGACGTAAAAATCTCCGACAATCTTATTTTATTTAAAAATAATTTTGAAACTGTTGCCAAAAAAAAAAAAAAAATTTGTTATAAGTTTTCATAATAGGTAGTTATATTCTTTGATAAATTTTCAGAAGTTAAGGGTTTGATAACATTTAATTTGTATAAAATATTATATATTGCTTTATATTATTAATACAAATTTTGTTAAATTTTAAGGTGTAAAATATTTTTTTATATAATATAGTTAATAAAACTTAATATATAACCTTGTAAATAATATGTCATTAAGACAATAAATATTATAATACATGCATTAATACATGAGTGTATATAAATTATATACAAAAATTATACTTGTATTAAATATCTCATGTTGTATTGAGTATGATGTCTTAATTTTTCTTCCATTATGACACTTATGCAAATAGAAGTTGGAACTCAATATAAAACATAATATAAATATTATTTTATGTGAACAAAATTATAAGAGGGTAAAAAAGATTATAATAAAAATATAAAATATTATATATTAATTTTTGGTAAAAGATTTGTGGAGTTAATAACATGTTATTTGATATTATTACATTTAAAAAATAAATAAAATGCTATATATTATCATATTAAATGAATAAATAATTATTATTTGTATTATTATGTCAATTTTATTTTAATATATTTTTGTATTATAAAAATAAAAAAATATTTTTTTATTATGTTATTATATTAAATTTTAAAATTAATTTTTAAAATAAAAATTATGTCAAATACTGATTTGTTGAATTGAATATTGAGTTTTTATTTGTTTTCTTTCCATAAAATTTTAATTTCAAACTTGTTTGGATAGATAGAAAATTAAGGAAAATCTCTACTCTTTTACTTCTAATAGACTTCTTTATATCATCATCTGCCTTAAAAGTAGAAATTCCTATAAATTATCACCCAGTAAATTCAACCATCATTCACAAACAAGTGTTCGTATCCCACCACTTCGATCCTTTCTCCGATCACCAACAATGGCCGGCAAAACAAGTACTGTTCTCTTACTCTTCGCCACGTTCCTCACCCTCCTCTCACGCTCGCTCGCAATCCTTCCCGATGAAGCTTACCCGTCGGCTCAATCCATGGGCTGCTCGCTCTCCGGCGGCCTGGACTACGACGCGAAGCCCGTTCGCCGCGAGGTCTACGGCGACGGCACGATCTTCGACGTCACTCACCGATACACGCCGGAGATGCCGTCGTGGGAATCGACGGAAGGGATTGGCCAGTTCCTATGGCTGCCGAAGAGCATGAAGAACGGATCACTCGCTAACAATTCGGAGATGAAGCTCCCCGCACATACTGGCACTCACGTTGACGCCCCTGGTCACGTCTTCGATCACTACTTCGACGCCGGATTTGACGTCGACACTCTCGATCTTCATGTCCTTAATGGTAAACTAGATTATTCGGGTTTTGTTTTTCCCTTTTGTTTTTGTTGAATCGGGTTTTCCCAAGGTTAATAATGATGGGTTTGGGGATATTTTTTGATGGGGTTTTATCAAGTTTTGGTTTTGAATTGACTGTTTTGTGGTTTTTGTGAAATTAATTAGGTCCTGCTCTGGTTGTTGATGTACCAAGGGACAAGAACATAACTGGTACGTTATCTTCATACCCATCTGTTTCTTAAGCTGGAAACTGTTTCTTACTATTGTAAGCTGGTTATGCATTGTTTGGCCTGTATTTATCTTTAGATTTGAATTTAGTATTGTCTTGAAGTTGGAGCTTACTCTAAAATTATACTTTTTCTTCAGCTGAAGTCATGAAGTCTCTTCATATACCGAAGGGAGTGCGCCGTGTTCTGTTTAGAACATTGAACACTGACAGGTAAATTTATTTTAATCAATAATGTTTTGTAACGTTGTCTAGTAATCACTTAACGTTTGGTAACTTAATTCAATGTTAAAATGTTACAACGAAACATCAGTTGTCCGAGGTGTCATAGATTTTACCGTGATACACAGCTTTGAGGAGATGACATACAGACACTTGGTGTCAGGAACTTGGTTGTCTAACAGCTGAGAAACAGATCTGGGTTTAGCTTTTGAGGAAATTGTAGGGCTGGAGGAGGCATAAAAGAGAGGTTCAGTAGAGGAAGAAAGCTAGGTGAAAGAGGAGAGCTGAGAGAATAGAAGAAGAACAATACTAGAGTGGTACAGATGGGTTATCTTAGATTTTCTCGTGATGATTCTGCTAGAAATCTGGGCACTACATGTAGCAGTACTAGAAAAAATACAAACTAGGTACCAGGTACAGTGACAGCTGACATTCCATTTGTCCTTATACTGGATATTCTTCTACAATTATATTACAGAAAATCCAAGCAAAATAAGAGAAATTATATCCATTCGAGGTCCTGACACTTGGTTTCGCATGTGTTTTAAGTCTTACAAATAATCTTGTAGTCTTTAGAGACTTTGGCGTAGTCTGCTTTAAGATCTTTTAGTTTTATGGGTCAATGTATATCTCTAAGCTTAGTTATTTGAACATTATGAAATCTTAAATGTAAGTGGAGTGTGTTTATGTCTATAGGGACAAAGTTTTTCCAAAGTGAAATGATTGTTTGATTCATTCATCTGCTTCTTTGCTATGTATCGTCATGTGGCTATAACTTAAATTTATGATTGAAGTGTCCATAATGTTTGGGAATTCATTTTAGAAGCAGAGAATTTTGTGGCAGCTGAACTTTAGTGCCAACTGAAGGAAATTATGTGTGAACTGGAACTTGTCTAATTTCAGGCGGCTTATGTTCAAGAAGGAGTTTGACACAAGCTATGTGGGGTTTATGAAGGATGGAGCAAAATGGTTGGTAGATAACACAGACATCAAACTTGTTGGTAAGACATTGATTTTCTTCTGCAAATTTTTATCTTCATAAAAAGATCCCCCTTATCTAGTCTTATCTGTTTCTCTCTTATGAAATTTGGCTTCTTTCTTAAATGTTCATTTATTTGTGATTTCTACTTATACATGTATGCTAGATGTGCATGATATCTGTCAGAAAATCATTATGTATGACTTGTGCCCAGTTGGTGACTGTTGCTAATTGTGTCCTTCGTACTCTACCACTTTTGTTTTTTTTCTGAAAACGAACATATATATATATATATTAATGCTTTTAAGATAATAAGGATTTTATTAACCAGGATGCTGATTGCAGAACCATCAGAATCTGAATAGTTTGATTATAGAACTATCACAATATATCCTTTTACGTTATCCAGTTCTGCTTTTTTCTAAGGCTGTCTCACCTTGGGCACTGCTGCGCTATGATAAAAATGTGATTTCACTTTTTATTCGAAGTCTCAGATTTTTTAGCACTCTATCCTTTTCTTTAACGTGAGCAAAAAGCTGCTAGGTTGTGTTTGAAGAGATTGTCTTTCAAACAGAAGGATGATATCTAAGGTGACTGTTTCTTTCGATTCTTAGGTTCTCTTTGGAAGGATTTGAAGAGACTATGTTTTTGTTGACCTTAAGGATTTAGTTCTAGATTCTTTCTTCATCTTCTGCGGAACCCTGGTGGTTCACTGTCAAGAGCTTGTTGATCTTCCGAGTGAAGAGAGTTAGGTTTCGACGGGAGAAGAGAAGATAGAGGGAGAGAGGAAGAGAGAATACAAAAATAGAGAGAAAAGAGAAAGGAAGCTTGAATTTGAGGAATTCTGAATTCAAATTTCTGTTACTCCTCTTCCTACCAACAACACTATTTATACTAGTGTTCAAAATTTGGTTACAACTGAAAATTAGCTGAAAGGATAATACACAAACCCTGTTACATTTCACTTTTCCCAAAGTTCTAATTTACCTTTTTGCTCTTCTCCCTTTGGTACACCCTAAGTGGTTTCCTGACACTCTCTTATGATATCATTGGGGCAATACTTTGGTGCAACCTGGGTGCATCTGGTGCTTAGTATTTTTTTTTCTAAAAGATTTATAATTAATAACAGGTTCTATTGCTCACTATTAACCATTGTTTTCATAAATGCAAGCTACTTAACTTGCAAAGTTTCCAAGTGCATGTTAGCCTTGCAAAATAAATTCTCGATATTTTTTGCTTGGTGAACTTTATTATTATACTTTCATTAACATAATATTTCCTGTCAAATTACTCATTTACTGACATCAATTTTTTGAATTGTAGGAATTGATTATTTATCTGTTGCTGCATTTGATGATTTAATCCCTTCTCACCTTGTTTTCCTGGAGGGCAGGGTAAGATATCATTACCTTATATTAGAATTTGAACTGTAAACCTCTGGCTTGGCTAACATGTTAGATACTCGAATTAAAATGATTTTCTTCTAAGGACTAAACTGATAATAAACGATCCAACTTATAGACTAACAATACCCACCAAAAATTTATTTGCAAAAATTCCTAAATCCTAACATATATGAAGATTAGTTGTAAAGTGTGGGGAGAGAGATAAACTAATGTCCTAGCTAACCACTTTGTGTATATTTTCCAGGAGATCATTCTTGTCGAAGCCTTAAAACTTGATGGCATCCAACCAGGAATATATTCTGTCCACTGCTTGCCTTTGAGATTACTTGGAGCCGAGGGGTCACCTATAAGATGCATTCTCATCAAATGATAAGTTTTCAATGTAAGTTTCTAAATATTGGCATCTTATGTTGCAAACCCCTGGTCCTATAGCTATCAGTCTTTCTGTTCAAACATTCCAGATCTTCTTACTTGTATATCATCTCCAATTGTTGCAGGTAAATATTTAGCCCTTTGAAGGAATAAGAGTGCTGTGCAGAGGATTTGTGGCAGGATCTGCTGAGGGGAAACCTCTAGTATTAGGGAGAGGACATTTTTCTTAGCTTCTTATAGGATATATGCTATACTCATTGGATGCTTATGGTAATAAATTAGGTCATAGGGAGAGTTTTTGTATATTCTAGGTTTCTTTTTTATTTGGTATGTATCGGTAAATCCACATTTTAACTAGTTATTCAGCGTTAGTACGTTTTATTAATGATGATGATCAGATCATAATGTTATTTTTGGAGGAAGATGATGATCTTATGGTACTTAACATTGTTGTTGGAATTTTAATGATTCCAATTGGGTATTTAATTAGAAAGTTCGATTTGCCAACTGAAAGTAAATATACCCATTTCGATGATTATAAAGAGATAATTTTTCTCTGTTCTCTCGTTGATATCTCAAGGTATAGAACCAAAGTTTCTGAGGCTTCTCTCCCATTTTCGAGCACACAAGCACATAGTAATCTTTTTGCGCACTTCTTTACCGACACTTCTGGTAGAGCAACGGATCAAAAGAGAAAAAAAAAAAAGAAGAGAAAACTACTACCAGCCACAGATATTCACTTAATTAGTTTTGTTCTTCCAATTTCTACAAACCTCACTACTCTTCTTCTTCTTTTGTACTCAAGAAGTTTCTCTATGTTCAATCTTTTCTTGGTTAAAATCTTTACTCATGAATGGTGGGAACCCACAAGAATTCAATCTTGAAGAAAAGGGCACAGAATCATGAAGAAATGCAAAAGATAATGTTCTGATTTATCTTGCTGACACATTTTCCACAGGGTAGGTAGGATTATTCATTAATAAAATTAGTACTTATTCTATTTTTGTTCTTAAAATATCTAAGAGATTAACAATTCTAAAAAAATTAAATAAATAAAAATCCTAACAATAAGCAAATGAATTGATTAATAGCTAAATATGAAATTTTTAATGGGTGAATAAAAATATAATAAGAGCAAAGCAAAGTTGCAAAGAGTGTTAGACAATGAAGAAATCACTGTATTTGCTACTGGCTTCTGCTGCTCTACTGAGTCAACTCAACGTTACCCTTTCTGTGTGCCAGGGCAGAGAGGATGATCAAGTTAAAAACCATGCAGCGAGGCCACGAATCTTCGACATCACCCACACCATCACCGGCGACCTCCCGGCGTGGGATTCGGTAGACGGCACCGGCAAATACATCTGGCTCGTCTCCAGCATCAAGAAAGGCAACGCCACAAACAGCTCCATGTTCAAGCTTTCCACACATTCTGGCACTCATGTCGACGCGCCAAGCCATTTTTATCAGGAGTATTACGATCGAGGGTTTGATGTCACCAGCCTTGACCTCCATGTCCTTAATGGTGAGTAAAAATTTTATCCTCGTCGACTATAACTCGTACCCGTCTGGATTTATGTGAAGCCTCTTGCCATGGTTTTACGGGATTAGTTTCTCGGCAGCTTAACATTTTATTCAGGGTTTGAAACCGCCGGGAAAGCTTGATCACATGCGTGCCTGTTTTTGTGTACTGGCAGGTCCTGCTTTGGTGGTTGATGTTCCTAGAAACAGCAACATAACTGGTATGTGTATATATATGTACGAATATGATTATGTTGCTTCAAAGGAATTGATTGATTACCAAATGAGTATGGATTTACAAGTTTCATCTTCTCGAAATCTGCTTCTTACAGCTGAAGTTCTGGAGTCATTGAACATTGCTAATGGAACAAATCGTGTGCTTTTCAGAACTTTGAACACTGACAGGTAAACGAAATGCATATATGTTTTATTTAAACATGAATCTGTTAAAAAATTCTTGCTTCAATTTTCAGGCGTCTGATGCATAAAACGGAGTTTGATACAAGTTTTGTGGGTTTCAAGGCAGATGGAGCCGAGTGGATAGTAAACAACTCAGAAATCAAACTTGTTGGTAATTAATTATTCATTTATTTCAGCTAATTATATGATTAAATTCATCGGTTTCATCTCCATAGCCATGTTTTGAATTTTCAGGAACTGATTATTTATCCATTTCTGCTTATACCGACGCAATCCCAACTCATCTGACCCTTCTAAAAAGCAGGGTAATTAACTAAATTCATCTGCTAAAAACAAGAATTCCTCTTACAAAGATTGTAACTTTGTCAAATAATCATGTTTAAAATGATATTATGTAACCTGGGTTTGGATTAAATTATAGAAAAAAAAAATCTAATGGTTGGAAATGGATGGTTAAAGTAGTGTTGGGAAACTGAATGTTGCAGAAAATCCATGTAGTGGAAGGATTAAGCCTGGATAACGTCCCGGCCGGTGAATACACACTCCACTGCCTGCCTCTCCGGCTGCACAACGCCGATGGCTGTCCGTCACGATGCATCCTCGTCGATGATATTCGGGGTAAGACAATTTTCTTTTTCAGTTCAAATAAAATATTTAAATATTTTTTAAAATAACAATATTTTTTATAATAATTTTTATTAAATATTAAATAATTTTTTATTAAAAATATTTTTAATTAATAATTATTTTTAAAAGTCAAAGAAAAATATGCCAATGTTGGGTTATTGTGTTAATTGTTGCAGGCTGCAGTGTGTAAAATGTAGAAGAAGATGAGGGTAATGATGGAAGAGTGAGAGAGATATTCTACTCAATAAATAAATATTAATGAATAAAATATATATATTTTTATTAAAAATGCATAAAATTAGATAATTTACAGTGGCCCATTATTCCAATTATTGTTTTAGTTAATTATTATTAAATTTCGATGACTTATATATATAATGAATATAAATTTCTAAACTAAACAATATTAATACTAATTGTAAAAGCTCAGAATATGGATAATAAAATAATATTAAAATTTATTAATTTACGAAAGCAGTTTAAAATTTAGGATTATATTTCTTACACAGTTTGATTAAAACGCTCAATAAAAAAACGATAATGTTCTTAAATAATATATAAAAAATATATAATTCGAAAAACCTATGTGATCAATTTTCACTATGCAACTGGAAAAACAGGAAGTAACTTTTTAGTTAGTTTTTTTACTGTTCAGAATTCAGGTCTTGATTATCGTGATCTGAAATGGTTAATAATAAAGGGGTAAACTACACTATCTCAGTAAAAATATCAAAACCTTACCACCGATACGTAAAATCAAAAGTTTGTAGAAATCGTAAAACAATCAATGAATCTTATTTTTCTTTCTTAAATAAATTCATTTAACTAAAATTATTAATTCCTCACTCACCTATATGTTCCCAGATGCTATTTATGAAGAAAAGAATTAGAATAGTAATTTGCATTATGCATTTTAAAATACCAACATTAATTAACCTTTACCATTTTTATTTACTTACCGATGCCGCTGGAGGAGTTTATAGGGGCCCCCACTACACATGAACCAAATATTCAATCAATTAATCAGACGGTCGTCTCTATATCCTATCCGGTAATGGGCGTCAAATATACCACCGCCTCAATACCCTGCCAGTAATAAACATAATCAAACCAATTCTCAATCCCTTATGGTATGGGACTTCTCAGCCCCGTTTAACTGAGGGTAACATCTACGGTAGAGTTTTTCCCTATGTATTAGGTCTGTAAACTTTTTCTCATGACACTCGGTAAACACTTTTTATTTAACAACGTTGCTTACACATATAAGTTTCCATTAGCATCTAGTCACTAAATACGTGCAAAACTCATATTTTGCAATTACAAAAAAATGAACGATCAATCAATAAACGACATCAATTAAGACCCAATGGTTCTAGAAATATAATTAAGATATTCGTTGCAAATTGATATAACGGAATAAAGATGAAAATGGTTTGAGTACATTGAATAGACAAAAAAAGCAAATAATAATAATAAATTAAAGTACACGAAGTAACAGTGAGCAATTAAAATAATACAACAACAAATAGACAACGTAGATAAGTTAGGGACAATTATACACTGATTGGTTACTGACTCCATCAATAATCAGTATTTAATTAATCAAGGTTTTGCCAATCATATATAATTTTTTGTTTATTTTTAATTTGACTTCAATTTAATCGTAATAGGAGAAAGGGTGAGAGGTTCTTATTCTAAGTCGGTGTTCGGAACACTATCTTTTCTATTGCGCTTTCCGGTTCCTAAATTTTTTGGATTTTTTTACTAAAATCAAAATTTACATCAAATAATGTGGAAATAAGTGAAAAACGGTCAAAAATGGCAAAAAATCTCACCAGGGGCCAGTTTAGGGTTCCGGCACGGCAGCGTTGCCGTGCTCCACCGATGATTCTGCCTTCTATGGCGGCTCCTCCTCTCGATCAGGTTAATTTCAGCCGATTTTGGGTGAAAACCTGCTCAATTCATGGTTCGGCAGTGTCTGTTGGTGGAAAAAGGGAGAAAACTGAAACTTACCTGTGGTTTTAGCTTCCGGCGGTGGTCCCACCACTTCTTCCTCCCAGTTGTAAATTTCCTTCAGTTACCCTGTATCGAAAAGCATGTTCGATGGTCTGGGGTCGAGAAACATAAAGAACAGAAAAAAGATTCGGGCTCACCGAAGTGTTTTTTTTATTTTGGGTGCGGCAGCTCAGTCGAGCTCCGCCCTCTGTTTTTGGCTTTCCCTCGGATTTTCCTGCATCAAGAGGGGTTTTAGGTAGCTTAGAATGGAAAAACCGAACAAATAAAAAAAAAATCACGCCTGTCAGCATCGATTTAGGCCTCCAGTGTAGCGGCGACCGTGGCCGATTTTTCTGTCAAAGTGGTGCACGACTAGGATTAGAATTTCGATAGAAGAGGAGTTTAAATACTCCTTTTCTCTCGATTTGGGCCTTCTGTTCAGGCCCGCATAGACCGATCTCAACCGTCGGATCCCATTTATTTAGGAAGCAAATTCAGACCGTCCGATTAAAGGCACGTGGACTATTCGATCGCGCCTAATGGGGAAACATATCTGGACTATTCGTGTGCACAGGAGTGAATACGGGCAGTTGGATCGCTTGGCACGCGGATTGCCCGCGTGGTCTCCCGCATGGAACGCGTGTTGGCATGTCCGCCACACAGCACACGGAGACTGGCCGTGCTGCTAACGTGGTTGTCCTATGTGATAACTTTTTTTATTTTTGTACTTTGGCCCCAGTTTTCAATTTTTCATTTCAAATAGGTCATTCCTTATTTCCAATTTGGCACTTTCATTTTAAAATTATTTTCAAATATATCCAAAATGCATATTTCTCAAAAAATTCTAAAAAAAAGTTAAACTTTAAAATTTATTATTATTATTAAATTTATTTATGCCATCCCGAGCCTAAATTCCAAACTCGGAATGTTACAACTCTCCCTCTTAAGAAAATTTAGCTCTTCAAATTACTACTCCATAATCAAACAGTTGAGGATATTAGACCTTGAAGTTTGATTTCAACTCTCAGATGGCATTGTCTTGCGAGTGATTTTGCCATAATACTTTTATAAAAGGGATTTCTCTATTTAAAAATACTCTGCTCTTCCGATCCAAAATATTAACTGGTACCTTCTCATAAGATAAATTCTCCTAAAGTGAAAGTGGCTTGTAGGACAAAACATGTGAGGAGTCGAGTTTATACTTTTGTAGCATCGACACATAGAAGACGTTATGGACTCTGGATAGTTCTGGAGGCAGTACTAGTCTATAGGCGGATATCCCAATCCTGTCCAAAATCTCAAATGGTCCGATGAAAATGGAGTTCAACTTTTTCTTCTTTTCAAATCTAGTTATACCCTTAAAGAGAATGACCTTAAGGAACATCCAATTGTCCTTCTCAGATTCTAAATCTCTCTTTCGGGTGTCCACATAACTTTTCTATCTATTCTGGGCTGTCTGAACATTTTTTCTGATCATAACAATCTTCACTGTGGTCTCATCTATAAGATCTGGGTCAATAAATTTTATGTCACCCACCTTTTCCCAATAGATCGATGACCTACAAGGTCGACTATATAATGTCTCATAAGGAGCCATACCAATATTTGTATGATAACTATTATTATAGACGAACTCTATCAGGGGTAGATGGTCATCCTAATGCCCTCTGAAATTTAGAACACAAGCCTTGAGTATATCTTCCAGTATGCGAATAGTTTGTTTCGATTGTCCATCTGTCTTATGGTGGAATGCTGTGCTAAGAGACAATTTCGTCTCCATTGCTTGTTGAAGACTTATCCAAAACTGAGATATGAACCTGGGGTCTCTGTCCAATACTACTGTCATCGAAACTCTATGTAGTCTGACTATCTCTCGAATATAGATTCTACCAAGCTTGTCTAAGGGATCAGTTATTCTAATGGCCAGAAAATGAGAGAACTTAGTGTGTCGGTCAATAATCACCCAGATTGTATCATATCCCAAACGTGCCTTAGGCAATCCTGTTTAAAGTCCATGGTAATGTGTTTCTATTTCTACTTTGGGATTGGTAATAGCTAAAGTAGTTCACCGAGATGTTGATGCTCTACTTTGACTTATTGGCATACAAGGCACTTGGAGACAAAATCAGCAATTTTCCTTTTCATGCTGCTCCACCAAAATTGGGGCCGCATACTTTGGTACATCTTAGTACTTCCCGGATGCATGGTGAACTTCGAACTGTGAGCATCTGTCATAATATCATTTTTCAACTCGTTATCACTAGGAACACACAACTTATCCTGGACAACCCATCGGCAGAGACTTAAAATCCTGAATTCAAACCTTGTTCTGTATCCTTTCTGAAAGCTGCTAGAGTGGGATCGGTCAGTTAAGGCTCATTTATTCTCTAGATTAATTCGGGTCGGACTGCTAAATGGACTAAACATGTTACCCTTCTCAAGTCTTGGAAGTGTATCTGTTGTGTATCCTTTATCATCCTGCACTCAGAAACTATTATGTGAGCTAACATACATGCATTGTTCTTGTTGAGGGCGTTAGCTACCACATTACCCTTATCCGAGTGATACAAGATCTTACAGTCGTAATCCTTGAAGAGTTCTATCAAACGCCTCTGATACATATAAGTAATAACGCTAGGTTTTCAAGGTGTAGCTAATGGCGACAAGCTCCAAGTCGTGGGTGGGGTAATTTTTTTTATTAGTTTTCAACAGACTGGACCCATAAGCTATGACCTTCCCTTACTGCATTAGAACGCAACCCAGACCTTGATAGGAAGCATCACTGTATACTGTATATCAACCCATTTCACTCGAAAGAGCTAAGACTGATGCAGTGATCAGTCGTTTCTTAAGTTCTGTAAAGCTCTTTTCGCTTTACTCATTTCACTCAAACTTAATATTTTTCTTCGTAAGTCATGTCAGGAGAGTGACTATACTTGAAAATCCTTCTACAAACCTGCGGTAATAACCTGTTATACCCAAGAAGCTTCAAACATCCTTAACCGAAGTCAACTGCTTCCAAACCATCATTGCATCAATCTTGTCAGGATTCATTGACACTCTATCTTTTAATATGATATGCCCTAGAAAGGAAGTCTGCTTAAATCAAAACTCATACTTTCTTAATTTTGCATAAAGTTTTTTTTTCCTTAAGAACCTGTAAGACCTTACTCAGATGCTGAGTCTGTTCATTTCTACTCTTAGATAGATCAGGATATCATTAATGGATATTATGACAAACTGATTTAAGAACGACCTGAATACCCTATTCATCAAGTCCATAAAGATCGCAGGTGCATTAGTTAATCTGAATGGCATAAACA